CTTTAGAGTGTGTTACCGTTCTTTTCTCGCCTGTAAACCCTTAACATTTCATATAAGTTGCGAATCTAACGTCTAATTTACCCTTCTATGTAAAATTATCAATCTACCATCCAATGTGTATCACATACAAATAACGTGACTTAAGTTGACGGAAAATTGAATAGTAGTCTCAAATGTAATACTAGGGATGTAATTGGCATATATTTTTAATTTTAGGACTGATTTTTCTTAAAAAAAAATAGTTTAGGGACCTAATTTTCACTTAAGTGATAATTCAGGGACTAAATTGGCAATTAACCCTTAAGATTGGGAGATTTATTGTGGGGATGAAAGTAGGGGTAGGCAAACGGGTCCACGACCCACGGGTCGAGATGGGTCCATGCGATTTAAGACGGGTACAGGGCGGGTCCAATAATTCTAAACATAAAAAAAGACGGATTGACGTGATTAGCATGATGTGGCAGATCCAAAAATCTGAGTAAACAGGAGCTCGGCCCGACCCGTTTCTAGCATGGGATAATTGGATTGGATTTATTGATTAATCAATCCTATACTCTCCACCATTGGATTGGATTTTTTTTCCTCATCTCAGAGACTTAGACAGAGATTGAGTCATTCAGTCTCCCCTTCTCCCATTCATTCACGACTCAAGTCACTCAAGTCTAGTCCTCGACAACAGTCATCCATCAGTAATTCTCCGACTCCACAGCCCTCGACTCAGTCTTCGTCTCCCTCTTTTTGGCAAATTACGAGTTACGATCACCACTAACAACCACCATCACCATCGTCTCTCCCAATTTCAACCACCCCATCACCGTTGTCAAGAAACACCACCATCAACATGAAACAGTTCTTTCTGCCTTCATTATCTTCCTCTATTCATAAAGTGTTTTCTTGACTTGTTTGGTGGTAGACATAAAGTGTATGTCAATAATTTATTCAAAAGTAGTGTATATTCGTATTAAAAAAATGGGTAAAAGACTGTTTACCACCCTCATGTTTCGTGGTTTTCAACATTTAGTACATCAAGTTTTTTTCGTCCCAGAGTCATACCTAAAGTGTAAATTTTGGGACAGTCTCATACATCTGTTAGTCAAACTGTTAGTTCTCCCGTTAAGTGATGACGTGGCGTCCTGATTGGACGCCACGTGTCATTAAAAAAATAAAAAATTTATTTAAATAAAAATAATATTAAAAAATATTTAAATAATAAAATAATAATAAAATATATTTTTTTCCTTCTTCTTCTTCTTCTTCTTCTGGGTTCGGTTCTCTCTTTTTTTTTTCTTTTTTTTTCTTCTTCCTCCTCCTTCTCCTTCTTCTTCCTTCTCCTTCCTCCTCCTTCTTCTTCTTCCTTCTCCTTCCTCCTCATTCTTCTTCTCCTTCTTCTTCCTTCTTAAGAAGGAAGGAGGAGAAGGAAAAAAAAAGAAAAAAAAAAGAAAAGAAGAGAAACCGAACCCAGAAGAAGAAGAAGGAGGAGGAAAGAGAAGGAAGAAGGAGGAGGAGGAAGAAGGAAAAAAAAAAAAAGAAGAAGAAACCGAACCCAAAAGAAGAAGAAGAAGAAGAAGAAGAAGAAAAAAAAAAGAAGAAGAAGAAGAGAAGAAGAAATTTTTTATTTATTTATTATTATTTTAATATTTTAATATTTTAATATTTATTTAAATATTTTTTAATATTATTTTATTTAAATAAATTTTTTATTTTTTTAATGACACGTGGCGTCCAATCAGGACGCCACGTCATCACTTAACGGGAGAACTAACAGTTTGACTAACAGATGTATGAGACTGTCCCAAAATTTACACTTTAGGTATGACTCTGGGACGAAAAAAACTTGATGTACTAAATGTTGAAAACCACGAAACATGAGGGTGATAAACAGTCTTTTACCCTAAAAAAATTAACTTCAGCTCCTCAAAGAATTAGCAGAAACTCTTCAAAACAATAATTAAGCTATTCACAAAATTTCATGGTTTTAATCGAAATTTTCATAGTAAAAATGCAGAAAATTAATAAAATATGGTATCATTTAATCATTGAACTATATACAAATAGATGGTCGGAATATGTAAAAGTATTTCGATTTGTCTATTTATTTTCTATAGTTAATTGATTAAACAACATTGGTTTTACCTAGATAATCTTTACATAGTTATTGACAACATAATCCTTTCAGATTAGAAACACAAATTTCTGCGAATCAACCATAAAATATTTTTCCAAGGATTTTCTCCTCATTCTTGAAGAGTCAAACATTTTTGGAAAATAATGAGCTCGAACCCGTCTCTTTTAAAATATCATGGCCCATTAACCAATGTCAAAGAGTTATGAATTATTAAGACTAGCTCAACTAATTATGTAATTATGGAAGGTTTGCCATTCATAACGTCAGCAGTAATGAATTAGAAGCCTACCTAATTTGGCGGCTAAATGCTGGAAATTTGTCAGCCAACAATCCAACATATGCATTGTATTTTGTTTGTATTTGATTTTAGTGTGCTCCACAATGAGCTAATAATAATGTGGTTCAAATTCGCTTTTGCCAGGAATCGAACTTAAGACCATTTACTTATAAGTGAAGATGAATATCACTAGTAGAGCTAATAATAATGTGGTTCAAATTCGCCTTTGCCAGGAATCGAACTTAAGACATTTCACTTACAAGTGAAGATAAATATCACTAGTAGGGGTCGGTTTAAAAAACTGAAAACTGAAAAAACAGAACCGAACCAAACTGAAATAGGTTGGTTCAGTTTCGGTTTTGATGGTCTAGAAATCGAACCAGACCAAACCGAACCAATTTATATTTAATTATTTAACATATATTAATTATACAAATACTCAAAAATCTGAAGGCTAGGTTTCGAACCCCTTACCTCCTGGTTGAGGGCTTTTGCTTACTTGCTTCAGCCAACTTGACAGCAAGCCCTATATTTGTATTAGTAAAATATTTATACTGATTCTGGACTTTAATTCTTTATAAGATTTGTAAACACAAAACCCTAGTCGTCCACCCATTTACTCCCATTTCATCTTCTCTGACTTCTTAGCATCTTTCTCCCACCATCGAATTCTTACTGCTCGAATGATTTCTTCTTTGAACGCTAGAATGTCTGCAACGGTAAGCGATTTATACAAGGATTTGCAGCAATCTGTTCATCATTTCAGGTGGGTCACCGCCACGATGCCTATTTCAAAAAGTTCAGGTTCAAAAACAATACTCTCGCTATATCAATTTCATCGATTTTGTTCCCAATCTTGTAAATTTGTTTAATTTGTGATTGAATGATTGGGTTTTGATTCGTTACCCTCTTCTCCATAACCCGCAGCAACCCTCCCTTCACCGAAGATCCCCAATCTCTCATATTTATCTATTGATTTGTATTTTTATGCTCTTGCTTTTCTTGATTGTGCATGGTAGTAGAAGGGTGAAATGGTAGATACCAGCTATAATGCATAATTCAAATTTCTTGAATGTAATTTGATTCACTTGGAAATTAAGAAATGCAAGGATTGTTGTTTAATTGATGATGAGCAACTTAAATCTCATATGTTTCCCGATTGGTTTAGATATAATTTGCCAACAACCAGTTGCATATGTTTGTTTTTAAGGTATCTTAAGAAGTGCATTTGAGGACCGATTGAAGAATGTATTCAATTTTTTAAGCAATTTGGAATTCTTTTCGCTACTGAAGAAGAAAAGGAAGAACGAAAAAAAAAAAAAAACAAAAAAACCGAACAAAAAAAAAACAAAAAACAAAAAACAAAAAAAAAACCGAACCAAAAAAAATTGAACCAAACCGAACCAAATTTCGGTTCGATTTCGATTTTAACAAAAAACCGAACCATTTCGAACCGAACCCAAGCCTAATCACTATACCGTAGTATTTTTTTAAATATTGGAAAATTCTAAAGAAATCTGATGGCATTGGCAATTTGGCATGGGCTTGATGGGAAAATCTCCTGCTTCATTTAATTCAGATTTTGTTCCTCACCCTGCATTATAAAGTGTTGGCAGTGTCGTCTGTTTGTACAAATAACATTACTGAAAAAAAAAACTAGAGGAAGTACCTTTGAGAGAGAGAGAGAGAGAGATTTAGTTCCGATGATACGATCACACTGAATAATTTCTCATAACAAGAATACAAATTAATTCTCAATCCCATGCGGATGCTATGTTGGCAATCAAAATGATATTAAATTGTGACAACAAACAGGCATCTATATCAAAAAAAAAAAAAAAAAAAAACACTCCCTAATAATCATTCTGCACTCTTCCTAATGAATAAAATAAGAGAACAATCGCAAGATGACCATTAATGTGCGCTAATAACAATTCATTATACAAAACACATTCTCTAAGATTGATTCTTATGGTAAAACAATTTTCAGAAGATCATTTTTCTTCTTCCATACACTCATGTTTGTCTCTGTTGATTCTCTGATTTATTCGACCCAAAGGTCCGAAATAAAAAAAGAGCATGCAAGCAAAAGATGTGTGTGAGGATCACCTTCCTATTATAAGGACACACCTAATCAGTTGTGATAAAGTATATAGGCATCATATACAACATATGGGACAATATACATGGGGAGATTCACAGGTCACAAGTATACAATACCTAATTGTCGGTAAGCAAGAAAGCATTTTTCAAGACACTGTCTACATTTTAACAAGAACATGAACTGAGCTACCTTTTTATAACATGTCTGGAATGAACAGAGTGAAACAAAACGACGTTGTTAGTCATTAACTAAATCAGACCGTAACGTGCAGTTAGCTAAACAAACAGTAATGTATCAAAGACAGTACGATTCATGTGCATTGTGCAATGTAATTTAAGTGGCACAAAAATGTTACTGGAAACTGCCATCTAAAATGTACACCCAGTTTGGCGCTTGCGTTGAGAATACATTGAACAGGCACTGTAGACTCTCAATGTATTCTTATAGAATTTTGTTCAGAAAGTTAACACGTAAAAAAACACGGCATGACTCAATTACTACTATAACCAATTTTGTAAAATTTGAAACTGAAGTACAAATGAAAGAAAGATTCGAAGACAATACTTTCTCATTTACCGAAAGTTGTCTTAAACTCATTGGAGGGGAAATCTATAATATGTTGAAAATAATCTCTGTTTGTGTACTCATACGCATCGGGAAGAATAAAAAAACATGTGAAATACTGTATCACGTCGTACAAATCCTCTATGTGAACACAAACCCCCCACCGTTAATTAAAACCCTACATAGATCGTGAAGAAAATGTGTTCAAAAACTGGTAATGACCTTCTTACCCGTTATAAACACAGCCTTGAATTATTTATTGCACGCAAGAAAGAAGAACCACTGTTGTTAAACCACTTCTATTCTTGGTGCTGCAAGGATACTGAGAAGAATGATCAGAGACAATCTTCATTTGTAGGAAGTAATTAAGATTTGTCAACATGAATCTTTGTGTTCAACAACTTTCTTAGCTTCCTGTCATGATTGAGCATTGCACTTACACTCTCAATCACCAAAACAATCTGCAGGGTGCAGAGGCAAATTAGTAGAGAGGGATAAGCCCAAGTATTCCGTAAAATTAACTGATGAATCAAAAATGTAAATCAGCAATTGGGATTATCAAATATCGTACAGCCTACATAGCTTCATGTATTAATTGGTTTTCCATAATCAGCTGATCTAAAGTGGTAACCTTAAGTTTCTCCATTTAGATTGACAATTTCGAACACGTGAACTTGAGTCAAATAATAAGGGAAAATTTGGTTAATGCAACGAAGACAATTCTCAACTTTCAATATATACAAGAATAATGTACAGAAGTTTTTATTATCATGTAGGTATGTTACACAAAAGTATCATGCTCATACTACATCAACACGAGTTTTAGAACTAAATAGTACCTTGGAAAACCGTAAAGTAATATCCAACATGAAGAAACCTGATTTCCCTTCTCAACTATGTTGGCAATTAATACTAGTGGTCATTGTGCAAAGTATTCAAGCTGATACGAAATGATCATGCTAACAAGACTTTTTCATTCAAGTGTGGAAGTATGTATAGCAGGGTGATGACTTCCTCTCATCGTTTATTTCACGAAAATCTAGCTATGAATCAACTATATAATAACGGAAGTACATTTTTTCTGCCATAGAACTCTTATACGAATCATCTGATGCTCTAAAGTATTAATGGACGAAGAATAATAGGTCAGAGTTTACAAACCTGCAAACAAGCATAAGTAATTGCAGTAGCAAAGTAGAAATTTGCATTGCCAGTGCCCTGCAAGTTTGAAAAAAGTCCTTATTCATAAGAATCACTTGTATTTCATGCCAACATTCAGAACAAGTGAACTATAGAGAGAGCCATACCCTCCATATCCATAGGTTGTGCATCACAGGGCTAAGGAGGGAAATGCCAACATAAACACTGAAGAGGCAGAAAGAGAATCGCATTTCTGCATATCGTAAAATACAAGTTTTAATATGTCAAACCATGTAAAATGCATAAAGTGAAAGAAAAAAAAATAAAAAAAGTGAACCTACTGACTTGCCTGACAGTTCATTAACAAACCAGCCCAACAAACCAAAGTACAGAGCTGAATCCCCAACCTAAGCGATATTTCAAGAATAATAGACAAAGCAAGAACAAAATATCAGGTCGCCCATCACAAAATAAGAAGCACAGGCATTGAGACTTTAGCTTCAGTACCAGTGTAAAGTGGGAGACTTCTAAAGCAAATGGGGAACTTACAGAAGGATAAGACTTAAGCATTGAGGAGATGGTGATGTAGACAAAAGCAAGAAAGCACGGACGATGCTTCAGTCGTATGGCCAATGGAAATATCAAAAAGAGAATATTCATTTGGAAAACTATCAGGAAGAAATTTCTGAAAAAATCGAAGACCTCTGCAAAGAAATACCTGCATCAAAATATTAAATGAATGATTAAATTAATGCCACATCTCAAAGAGAAATTTAACTGCTCCAAAATCCAGTTGCAAGGTAATTTGGGGCTTACCATAAGACACCTATATTTGGAGACAAATCTTGCACAGTGAGAATGAAACCATACATTCTGCAAGAACAAGCCATAAATTTTAGGAAAAAATAGATTACTGATTTAACAATAAAATAAAATTTCTAAGAGCAACCCTTCATATCAGAGGAAGCACAGCATTTATGAGGCAAAAAGCTAACACCCATAACATTAAAGGCAAGCATAAAAGTCTAACCACATTTGTTATTGGCCTGTTAATCATGTTCTGAAATAAATCACGCAATAAGGACCAAGCAACAAAGGATTTACTTCTGTTACAACTGTTTCATATGGTGGGCTATTCAGCATAGGAGATAAGATCATAAGGCTACCTTGGGACATAACTGGATAAAATCATTGTTTAGAAGGAATAACCTTTTAGTTGCATCAGTCTTCAATTTTCATTTTTACTTTCTTTTGTTGGTGAGTTGGGAGGGAAGGCAGGAATGGAGACTACGAGATAGCATCAATCATGTGGTTACTACCGTGAGCCATTCACCTAAGTACAGGCTTCAAGTGCTCTGGATCATTATAGAAGCAGCAACCATAGCAAACACCAGGACCCTGTGCAGAGCTCTAGTCCATATGCAGATGCGGTTCTCTTGGTGCTAATTTACCATAATTGTCCTGGAAAATTGGAATAGCTTTGAAACCTCCGCAATCTTTAGTTTGTTTTTGTGTAAATTGATTTTTATATGCAATTCTATTTGCTCATTGTTCACCATCCAGAGTTTTACAAGTGGACTGGATGACCTTTTAAGAACTGTAAAATAGCTTTTTAAATAGACTTGAAAATTTCAGTTGACATCTTAATCAACCTCATAAAGGACTTGAACCAGTCATAATGCTCATATGATCAGTCCACTCCCTTCAACAGATTTTTCAAATCTTATTTTGCACAAACACCTAGAAATTTGGGCAGAAAGAAATGCATATATGTACAATGTGCCGTTGATACCTTTCAAACATCTCCCAGAGATCGCCATACTGTTTAGCAGATACGCCACAGAGAAATAACACGTAGGCTGACCACATAATAGCCCACAATAAGAAAAGTCCGACAGGTCTCCAAGAGAAAACAGGGGGTAGCTCTGATTGATTAATAACTTTCTCCTGTTGTTGACAACTATCACTTGAGGAGTTATCTTCAACTTCACCATATCTCCTCAGTAGCAACAGTTTCCTAGGAGTATCTGGACCATATCCTAATAAAAGAATCATCTGGCACAAAAGTGAATATTTTTTAATACGCATGAGTAGGCAAGAAACATAGGAAACATGCCAGAAAATCATCTTTTTAGATTTTTTTTATATTTGATAAGAAACATAACTTCTAACTTCATTAACAGATTGGAAGATAATTTCTTAATTACATCAAGCATGATAAGTCAATGAAAAAAGGGGCATACTGGAATTAGGAGAATCATAGGATAAAGAGACAGATGTGTTGCTATAACCCACCCAAAAGCAGCCAAGGGAACCAGTCCTGCAGTACATCAGAAGAAGAATATCAGATAGGAAACTTTATGTAAAAAGCAGCCCAATCCATTGACCTAAATGCCTTCACCCATTCCTGAATCAAATTCTAATATCTCACCTTAAAGCATAAATTTGGGAAAAATATTTGTCAAACACAAGTAAAAGAATATCTTCCTTGAGAAAGTTTAGAACATTGGAATCAGAAAATTAATCAATCATGATTAGATGTGCTAAGATCATATGACTGGAACTGCATGGTATCAATACCACTTAAGTCCGCATTTTCAGTGTCATCAATTGATACTGCTTCACTTAGAGTTATAATGAAATTTTAAAGAACTAAAATGTTTATGCACAATAAAGCTGTCTCCTGTAATAAGATCATAATTTGTCTGTAATTAACTTTATGTCACAACTCACAACAATATAAAGGCGGGGACTTGTGTGGGTAATGCTTACAACATGAAAGCCTATGTAGTCTCAAATATGTAAACAAGAAATCTTGTAACCAAAGTTGAGAATATATACATTATTATTTTAAGGAAAGAACAATTCTCCTGAACAAAATGACACACAGAAACTAGAAAGAAAATACCGACGAGTAAAAAATAAAAACAAAAATATTTACAAATAGCCAACAGAAACAATCAAGTCAGAAGGATTATCGTTAACTTACTTTTACATGCTCCATACAAGGCCAGTATGATCGCAAAATTCTCAATTGGAGATGTTGACAAACCCACACATGCAACTATTGTGAAAGGATTCCATAGATACACAAGAGCAGCAATATCCCCAGAAGGGAGCACCTCTGAAAACAACAAATATGAGCAATGCATTAGCCTGTGAATGGCATTGGGTAGGCAAAACTATCACTGCATCCACGGATATCTAGTTGCTTTGTTGTATAACAGTTTTCTATTTCATTCGAGGAATTTATACAAGAAAAACATGGCTACTCATAATTAGGATTTAAGGTATCTCGACTTTAAATGGTAAGCTTACCAATGCTTTCTAATGTCGTATCAAGATCTAGTGACTTCAAACTCTGCCGGTATGCAACCTGAAGAGTCTGACCAGTAGCACGAATAAGCATTGCATTCAATACATCTGCAACCACATAAACCAAACTGTATCCAAAAATGTGTTGATATCAACTGTCTGTCTAGATATTCAGAATAAGTCAAACAACGAAAGAAAACTAAGGAACTCTAAATTATTGGAACGTATAACGTAACAGAGTGATACAACATAAAGATGAATTTGTTGTCACAATTGAGCCTGTGCAGTTTTATTCAGTTTGGTAAGTTATCAAGTAAAATCAAATCAAAACTTAAAAGTAAAAAAAATCCGACAAATCATATTACTGCAATACAAATTCACAACATTGACTAGAATGTACTGTCATGATGAATTATAGAGCGTGGTCGTGCTGCAATTTAGAGCTTTCAAGATCTTCTTTAAGTCCATATCAACAACAAAGGAAAACAAATCATGTAGCACATGAATTCGTAGATTGGGCGGCTCAGGAGAGAACTACGGAAAAGATACAAGATAATTCTTACCTGCAGAGAAGATGATTAGGTTGCCCTTCAAATCTGCAGCACCAATCAAAATATTCAACAAATTACCAACTGAAAAACATAAAAGAAAAAAAATCAACCACCAAAATTTCACATTCACTTAATTGGGATTCATTGCAACCAATCATGACCCAACATAAGTCACAGAGTAATGCCAATGGGAACAAAATTTGAAAAAGGGAAAAGCTTTAGCTGGAACGGTACCGCTTGACTGTGAGTGGCCCGAGAAGTGAGAGCAACAAAGGAGATCCATGGTACATAGATCCTGCAAAAAAAAAAAAAAAAAAAAAACCGCAACAGATGAAGAAAAAAATATGATCAAAAAGATTATAATTTCCAAAATTAAACATAAAGTTTAGGAAAGTGAGTAAATTATAAATAAATTTAAATAAAAAAAAAACCTGCATAGGGAGACATTGATGATTGCTTCAACCAGTAACCCTCAGCAACTGAAAAAAAAATTACCAAATTAAAGCAAAATATAAGTTAAATTGAAAATTTAGGGTTTTGAGCAAGCTAGAGAGAGTACGGCGGCGGAGGCTGGTGAGAGGAGTGGAGACTTCGGGGCGAGAGGAAAGGTTGAGATTTTTGGGTAGTAGATGAGAACGAGCCTGAATAGCACTGATGCCGCCGCCCATGTCCAGAAGCTTCCGGGCTTCTGCTTCTGCCTCTTCCTTTTCGTGCTCTGCTCCTCCGTCTTCAAGTCCATTTTTCTGACAGTTTTGCTGTGTATTTTGGGAGCGAGATCAGTTGGAGAGGAGGGAGACCACTCGGACGAGTTTGAAAGGATAAAACGACTGCGTTTTCACGCTTTCAGATTGTTATAGCTGGTTTGGTATTGTGTTTTTTAAAAAACACTATAAGATAAGAGTAATGTTATTCATACCATGTTTTTGTATCATATTTTTATACCACCTTAATTGGTATTTAATGTGGACAGTCACCTCATTTGAATTAATCATATTTTTAAATTTAGCTCATTATTTAATAAACTAATAATTAAGAAAAACTAGTTAATTAAATGATGATTGTGGTATACGATAAGTCTTTCTCCTTCCTTTCCTTGGGTTTTGCAAATTTTTTAAATGACGTGGCTGTCGACATCAGATGCTACCTAAGGTGGTATAGAAATGTGGTATAAAAACATAGTATGAATAGCTTTACTCATAAGGTTTCTTTTCTTTTCTTTTTTTCAAATATAAGATAAATTTGGTAAGTGTTTGGGAAACCTTTTATTTTTGTAAAAGTGTTTTCAACAAAAAATATATATATTTGATAAACCAAATTATATTAAAGATGAAGACATCTAATACAACTATTAGCCCCAGAGTCGAATCTAAGGGCATTCAAAGTGTCATGGGAGAGACAATGATCCCGAACATGAGGCTTAACACCCATAGCCCTAGGTAAAGAAATTTCGGACGGAGTCGGATTTTCTACCCTTGTTTGTTGAATGGTAGGAGATCCATCTTCATTCATATCTACAGATGGGGATGCAGCTTCCAAAGGATCCACTCTATGTTGAGGTGGATCTTCAAATAACACCCACCCTTTACAAATTTCCCAACAACCGTGAAACTGAAAGGGTTTTGAGCTGCCCTCCATATACAATTCCTCCGCTTGGCGTACCTAGAAAATATAATTAAACAAATTTTAGGAAATTAATTCACGAAATTAATGTAATATAATTAAACATTTAAACATTTAAAATAAACTGTAAAAACACTAACTTCGTCATAGTAATTGGCGCCGCTTTCATGTCTACGTGTTGCTGCTAATAGTGCTTGATGCCATTTATTCAAACATGGATGAAGATGTTTCTTCCATCTTGAAGAACAACTTTCGTGGTTTCGGGTATTCGGTGGAATGGTGCCTTCGTAGAACTCTAAGTATTTTTTGGAGACACGAGTCCAAACACCTTCACTTGTTTGAGAAATCCCCCTCACACTATCTTCTGAGATCCATCTATAAGCCTTGCAAAGAGCTTCATCTTCTTTTCGGGTCCAAGCCCTACCTTTCATTGCAGATGAGGCCATTTTTTTTGAAAAAAAAATTTAGGAAATATTGAAGGAAATATTGCAAATAGAAGTTATAGGAAAATTTATTGAAGGAAATATTATAGATGAAGGAATAATATTGGAAAATTTATTGAAGGAAATATTATAGATGAAGGAAATATTAGAAAATATATTGAAGGAAATATTGAGAAATATATTGAAGGAAATATTGAAAAATATTGAAGAAGGAAATATTGCAAATGAAGTGAAGAATTGAAAGAACTTCACTATATTTATAGAAGAAAAAAATGTTTAAAATAAATTAAAAAAACAAAAAAAACCAACGGCTAGTAATGTTTAAAATAAATAAATAAAAAAAAAAAAACAACAACCAACGGCTAGCTGACTCAGCTAGCCGTTATATTCAAAAACATTTCAAACTATTAGTGTCGGTTATAACCGACACTAATAGCAGAACTATTAAAAAAAAGGTCTTTAATGCTGTCGGTTTTAACCGACAGCAATAGGAAATCATTAAAAAAAAAAATAGCCAGCCCGAGGCTGGTTGGCTGGCCGAAAGCAGCCAGCCCTCCAGCCCTCTCCGATCCCGTGGGGCCCTCCCAGATTCCAGAGCCCTCTGGCCTAACCCTCGGTTGGAGAAGGTTTTAGGGCTATTTTCGGCCCTCTGGCCCTCTGGACCCTTCGGTTGGAGATGGCCTAACAAACCAATGTGAGTTAGAGCATTAGCAACAAAGTTTGCTTCTCGAAAGATGTGATGACGTGAAATCTTAGCAAATTCGAGAGTTAATCTTTTAATATCTATGATAACCTGGCTAATGTGCCAGGGGGCTTCCATTAACTGCGAGCAAGTTGAATAACGAGCAAAGAATCTCCTTCCACCATCAACCTCTAAATCCATTTCCTCTTGGAAAGTAGCAACTGCTCTTTCAAAGCCATAGCTTCAACCACAGTGATAGTGGTATGCTCAAGCCACATAGCACCAGCCCCAATAGGGAGTCCATTCGGATTTCTTAGAATGAATGCAACAACTCCAATAAATCATCGAAGTTAAGCTTGAAAAAAATCCGAAAGGGAAGGGGGACCATTTGATAATATGATCCTGATTTAAAGCCACCGTCTTGACCTCCTTGTTTGCCAGAGAAAACGCATCACCCACCTTTGAAGCCACACTAAATCTCTTAAAAGCAATCGGATTCATGCTATTAAAAACTTTATTATTTCTGTCTTGCCAAATTTGACAACAAATTACGATTGATTTACTGAGTCACTTATGTAATACCCTAAAAATTTAAAAATATGAATATGTGAAGAAAAATCGAAAATAAATTGATTATGGTTATGAAAAATTGAATTGAGAACTTTTAAAATTTTGTTTCCGGAAATTATTATAATTTACGCGGTAAAATTGTATCGATAAGTGAAAAAGATGAAAATGCCCCTAGTTGGTTAAACGTAATTTACGAGGACGTATTTTATCCTCATATACTTTATCGTATTTAGATAGAGTTCGATTTCACGAGCATGTAGGCGAAAACCGTTCGTGAAATGGAATTATAATGAATGAGTTATTAACGATCGAAGTTGAGGATAAAATGGTCATTTGATCATAATTCATAATCTAGAAGGCTCCATATTTTCTAGAGCAATGGGAGTGCCATGTGTGCGGCTGTGATGAAAAGAGAGGTAGAGAAAGGAGAGAAAGGAAGATCAGAGGGACGAATGAGAAGAAGGGAAAGGAGGGGAAAAAAGGAAAGAAAAAAAGAAAGGGAAACGGGTTAATCCGTATACCCATCGAACCCGCGTGATTTCCCGACCTTTTTTCAGCTGTTTTCAGGCGAGTTGAAGCTCGCCTCCACCTAGAAAACATTTCATATAGCTTCCTCTTCCTTTTCCACTCAAAGACTAATAAGAATTAACTTCAATTTGGTCAGATTGAACCAAAGGGTACACGGGTGCACCATGACGAAATCCACGATTTCTGAAACGTTTTCTTTTGATCTCCACTACCATTAGACTCTCCTTGAACCCAAGAACAAAGCCCAAACATTGGATGGGGGCGCGGAGTATCGGGGAGTTCAAATCGAGGCCACCTAAATTATAGGGTTTCCAGCGAGTTCGAGGGAAATTGGGGCTTTTCCTAGCCAAGTTGGTCTTGGACACAAGTATAAAACTTGCTCCACTCAAGATATACATTTTTGTGAAATTTGGTAATTTTTTAAAATAGTTGAATTTTCCTGCGAGTCAGGGCGGCCGACCACCATGCGCGGCTGCTCGTGGCCAGTGAGCCGACGCTACCTTTTTATGTAAATTTGATATTCCAATTACGTATTTGGCATCCATTTGATGTGTTTCAATTAGTAATAAGAATGTTTGATTTTTCGGTTAATAGAATATTTTCGAAAATGGTTTAAAAAGAAATGGTGAACTACGAAATGCTTAATCCTGCTCCAGGGTATGTAGGCAGTCTAACAAGGTTAGATGCAGCCTTAAATAATCGAGAATTGTATTTGGTTGAGTAGTTGATTTAAGGAAAGAAATTTGATGAATAAGATGAAATTAAATCTTATGTCTTTGGTAAGTAGATTTTGGTTGAGTAGTTGTAGTTAACTTCAATTACATTACTAATTTGATAATTACTATGCTTCTATGGACTCACCATTGATAAGCTCTACATTTGTAAAGCATGGTTGCACAATAAAAAGAGGTGATTTTGACTTTCTTCATCCCTGCTACAAATAGGGCAACTTCTGTCAATGTCATGTATATATCTACTTATTCTTAACCTGGCATGTAGTTTTTCCAAAGTTAGCAGCGAAGCAAACATCTTGACTTTGGGAGGCATTTTCAAATTCCACATTTTCTTCAGCAATTTATTTCTATTGATTTCTTGATTATCATTGCTCTGTATTCACGTTGCCGACTTAAGGAATAAATCCCCACTAGCAAAATGCTCCCAAACAAAAAAAAAAAAATCTTTTGTGTCATATCTTGGTATAGTTATTATATATATCTTCCTAACAATATCCCTATCAGTACTTGTTGAAGACGATCTCGATTCCGACAATTATTCTTAATAAATTCACTCACTTTAAGGTTCCAATTCAAGGTGCTACGGTATCCTCTAGGATGAGATGGAAAATGGGGTAAGGAAAAACCCAATGATAGGTCCAGAAGAGGATATTTTCTCCATTACCCATAATCCATCTCAAAACGTTGCGAATAACCTTTCTACTTTTTAGGATACCTTTCCAGGCAAGAGAGTAGTTTTTGCTTGATTTTACAGTCTAAAAACTTTTTAATTCTAATTTTCACCCATAAATTATCCTCATCCTTTAAAACTTTTCATCCTAGTTTAGCCAGACAAACATTATTAAAATGATCCACCCTACGTATATCCAGATCACCCCAGTCTTTAGCCTTACAAATCTTACTCCACCCAATTGGATAGAGTTCTCTCTTTTCCCCAAACAAAAATCTATACACTCCATATTTAGTTTTTTCATTATTCTTTACAGACATTTGAGGCATACCAGAGAGGTTGGATTTTATTAAGGTTAACCTACCTGCCTTCGACAGGTATTTGCTTTCCAACCTGCTAACTTGTGTTCAATCCTTTTAATTAGTTCAATTTCATTCACTAGATCTTTCCAAAACACAATATTATGAATAACAAGGTCCTTACCAATAGTTGTTTTGTGTTGGATATTCAGTATATTGACAATAGCAATCTTGTCTTGATTGCTTGTGTTGCTTGAGAAATAAAGAGAAGATTTGTGAA